CGCAACTTGCACTTCCCTCCAGACCAACAGCTTGGTACCGAGGCTGAAGATTTTGTTCGAAGGTATGCCTTTGCACACATTCATAACTATTCTAGTTCGCAGCTAACAAACGTAGACTGATCTGTGATGCTGATCATCGTCTCGGTCGTATTGGTGGCGCCAACGAAATCAAGCAGCACCCCTTCTTCCGGGGCGTGTCATGGGATGGCCTGCGCCGCATTCGCGCTCCTTTCGAGCCCAAGCTGCAGTCCAATATTGACACGCAATACTTCCCTATTGATGAGATTGACCAAAACGACACATCGGCTGCTCACAGGGCGCAGGCAGCACAGGCAGGTGAAGACGAGTACGCGACGAGCTTGCCATTCATTGGATACACATATAAGCGATTCGATGCCTTCCGCGGCTCGTAGATGCAAAGGTTCTCATACCCACATTATCCGAGTTCAAATTCTACACGTACTTGTATCTTCTCTGCACACCCTGTCTTTCCCCGGCGGACCAACGCGACGGGCGCATAGTCATATCAAGCTATTTCAATCATGTTTCTAGGATATGTTTTGAGCTCAAGCGGTCTTTTGAACGTTTTTTTTTTCATATCAAAACCAAAGCGAAAGTAAAGTTTTTTTTCCAGTGCATCTTATTAGGAAAATGTAGGCGAAGGAGTGTGGATAAGACAGGAATTGGAAGAGCTTACTACAGAAGATATATATGTCATCTGGATCATCTTAAACTGTGTTTAGAACTTGATTGTATTGGTATGTCCTTGCTCTATTGGTACTGAATAGCTAAAAGCTTGCCTCAAGAAAGGTGCGACCCACTCCCGTTGCTTTGATATGAAAGTTCGATCTGTTGTACTGTTTACATTCCTAAGGTACCAACGGAGCTTTCCCGTTATCCTTTCCAACGCCATACACCGTGCTTGTGGGGAACGAATATCCCCGCTGGCAAAGTATTACATCCACCCAAGCTTCCTCTTCAAATCTCCTGCTATTGCTTTCTTCGTTTCAAATCTTGCCTCACATTCCATGAACCTCCCCCATTCTTCTCTCTCTCGCGTTCACGCACATTAAAAAAACTCGTTGTATCGCTTGCACTCGCCCTCATCGCGCCTCAAACTGCACCATACTATATTTCCCAGTCTCGTTAGCCTTTTTTTTGTGTTCTCTCTCTCACATACACCAAAGCCTTTGCTTCCCTTGTTCCCCCTCACCCACGGACTTTGCAGGTTTAAAAACACAAGGACAAAAGAAAAGTTCATCTTACCGGTTCGTTCTCTGCTTGTACAAAACGCGATGACCGCAGTTACGGCAGCGGATTGGCTCGCCGCGCTTGAGCGGGACGTCCATGTCGCAGTCGCCGCACTTGTAGTGGACGGTTCGGGCGGTTGCGTCGACGGTCGTGGGTTGGTTGTCTGCGGTGTTGCCGCCTGAGTATTGTTGTGACATCTTTATTTTCGCGCTGGTAGCGGGGGTTTGCGGGGAGGAAGGTTGAGGAGAGCGGTTACGGCGGTTGTGAGGGTGTGTTGGAGCGGGAAGGGCGTGGAGAGTGTTCAAAGTGGAAGTGAGGGAAAATGAAAGGCGATGATGGGACCAAGGCGCAAAACGCAGGGTTGCCGGCGCGGTGGCACGTGCCTTATCGATTGTGGGTGCAGTGGTTGGGCTTGGCGCTGCTGCAGCTGCTTGAGAGACTGGTAGGAGGACGATATGAGTAATTCTTTATGGTAGTTTAGATTTACTGGATTATACTAGCGAAGGGAAAGGGGCGGAGAGAACGATAAGAAGTCTTGCATTACAGGTTATAATTCTGGGCTGTTCAACTCTAAGCTCGGCTGAAGAAGCATTCTATAACAAGCTTGAAGATGTCACACTACATTCTAGCACCGAATAACTGTACAGAAACGAGATATAGGCGTGTTAGATACCCGTCTGATACTATCTAGTCTTCAGCTCAATGCTTGGTCATTTCGTTTCCTTGAAAAACTACGTATTCATCTCACTGATAATGATACTTTTTCTAAGATTTGTAGGTAGTCTGAATGATACAAACCGTTACAAGAGACATCGCAATGATATGATCACTCATACTTGATAATAGCATGTGATGGAATTGTCGCGAAGTACTCAGGAACGATGATGGGTCGCATGTGGGACATCCACCGCACTATCCCCATTTAGGGCTTAGTGGTGGCAGAATCCCGGCCCGCGCTTCGAGAAAAAGTTGGGAAAGTCGCGACTTTTTGCGACCACGGACTTCAGGCCCGCAACACCACATATTCATACCCACCATGGCCGGAATCAAGCGCAAATCCGCAGGAAGCAGTGCGCCTGAGGTCAAGGATAAGAGCAAGAAGGTCAAAGTTGACAAGTCGGCGTCAAAGACCAAATCCAAGCACGAGGTCAAGCCAGTAAAGAAGGCAAAGAAGGCCAAGGAAGAGAGCTCTAGCGAACTCGAAGAATCAGACACCAGCGAACAGGACAACGGCTTCTACGGCTTTTCTGCTGCTGACGGCGAGGATGTGCAGATGAGCGATGCGGAAAGCAGTGAAGAAGCTGAAGAGACCAACGGCAAGACACAGAAGTCTAAGAACGAAAGCGATGGCTCCAAAAAGCCCAAGGGCGATGGTGTGGAATCTAAATTGGCAGGATTGAATGGTAAGATTCGATACATTCTCTAATTGACGCCTCTGGTTAACTGTAATTCCAGTAAGCAACTCGCGGGAAGCGCATGCGAAACAAAAAGCACTTGCCAAAGAACGCAAGGCCGCGAAGCCCAATGCGGACATCATTGAGCGCTCCAAAAAACTCTGGGAGAAGCTTAGGCTCAAGTCGCACGTTGACAAGGATGAGAGGAAGGAACTCGTCAAGGAGCTGTTCGACATCATAACTGGCCGGGTCAAAGACTTCGTCTTCAAGCACGACTCTGTGCGTGTCATCCAGACTGCTATCAAATACTCAACCATGGAGCAAAGGAGAATGATTGCCCGCGAACTGAAGGGAGAGTTCAAGGTTCTGGCCGAGGGCAAATACTCCAAGTTTTTGATCGCCAAATTGGTAGAGAAGGGGTGAGTTCGCCAGTCATGTTCCAGGCAATATCCGTACTAATATTTGACAGTGACCCCGAGATTCGCGACCTTATCATCACCGAGTTCTACAGCCATATCAAGCGCATGATCAACCACCCCGAAGCCGCATGGATAGTCGACGATATCTACCGAGCTGTCGCTACCCCCGAACAGAAGAACCGCCTACTTCGAGAGTGGTACGGACCTGAGTTTTCTATCAAGGGTCTTGGAGCTCAAGGCACAGACAGCGCAGAGCTCTCAGCCATCATAAAGGAGTCGCCTGAGAAGAAGAAGCCAATCATGGACTACTTGGAGAACCAAATCAATTCGCTCATCCAAAAGAAACTGACTGGATTTACCATGCTGCACGACGCTATGCTGCAGTACTTCCTAGTCTGCGAACCCGGCACCGAGCAAGCAAATGATTTCCTTGAGCACCTCAAGCCCGATCCGACACTAAAGGAAGGCGAGGAGGCCGACAACGTGGATCTGCTAAAGAATCTTGCGTTCACCAAATCAGGCTCAAGACTCATGTCACTGTGCTTTGCGTACGGTACTGCAAAAGACCGCAAGCTGTTCTTGCGACCATACAAGGACACTGTTGAGATAATGGCCTACGATCAGCATGCTCACCACGTTCTTCTTGCCGCATTGGCTGTCACAGATGACACCAAGCTCTCTGCGAAATCCGTCTTCAGCGAACTCCTCCCGAACAACGACTCCCTTCCCGAAAAGGTGCTCAACCTTGTGAACGATGCTCGCGCACGTACAGTTCTGTTATACCCATTCGCAGCCGATGCCAAGTGGCTGTTGGACGACAACACTAGGGAGCGATTGGCTGAGATATACGCCATTCGTCAGACAACATCTAAGAAGGACCCAAATGTCCGTCTGCAGGAGATCGCAAAGAACATTGAACCGCAGCTGCTGACAGCAGTCACTGCACGAGCCGCGGACTTTGCCTCGTTTGCATTCGGATTGCAATTCATGGGCGAAGTCCTTGTTGGAGCACCCGAGGTCGAGCCAACTAAGCGCAAGGAGGCCCTGACAGAAGTCGCACGCCTTTCTCAGTCGATTCTGGACTCTTCTCTCCCCGCTTCAGCTGGCGACAACAAAGCTACCAGTCATGGCAAGAACATGCTCAAGATGCTTGTACAAGGCGGCAAATTCGACACAGTCGCGAAGAAGGTTGTTCCTGTTGAGCCCGCTCTTGGTTTTGCAGATTTGCTTTGGCCCCAGATCAAGGATAAGATCGTTGACTGGGCTACTGGCCAAGGGTCGTTTGTTGTTGTGTCGATGACCGAAGCTGAAGGCTTCGCAAAGAAGGATGAGGTGTTGAAAGCATTGAAGAAGGAGAAGAAGGCATTGGAAGCTGCTGCCAACCCTCCAGGCAGCAAGAATGGAGAGCCGAAGGGTAAAAAGCAGAAAAAGGGCGAGAAGTCGGAAGCTGCGCCTCGGGGAAATGCGGGCACAAGAATCTTGCTTGAAAAGTTGTAGAGCGGCCAGCTAGTAGAGTAGGTTTGTCTGAACACATGTCATGATACCCATCTGAGGCTTCTTCTGTCCATCTTTTGGGTCCAAAATCAACCAAGTTTTTTCCATCTACGTCGTGCTACGTTGTGATTATGCACATGTAAGATACTCTAGTATAGGCTGCTGTAATCATCCGAATCGGGTAAAGCATCCGTACCCATATGCAGACACGTTGAGGCGAGATGCATTTGCTGATTTATTTATCAGAGATCTTTCGCTCACTCTTTTGTACCGCCGCAGTTTGATTGTTTCTTCTGTGCTTAGTTCACACCTTCACCGCAATCGAAATCCAGTCGTCATACCAGCAAGTATCACGAAATAGTACCGTGTCTGGCCTCAAGCACCCCACATATGAGATAGTGAGCCAGGAATAATTCAGGAATCACAATACACTATTACCGCAATGTCACCCGAGTTCAGCATCGACGAGTCATCTCTTCCGTCCTTCTTCCAAGCCCAATGGCAATCCAACCCTGATCCAACGGCGCTTCCGTTTCCACGTGACAACCCACCTTTCCCCCTCACCGCAATCGACTGGCAGCAGCTCTCCCTTACGGACGCAGAATTCACACCTCACTCATGGTCCAACCTACACGAACTCATCTCTGCAAACCAGCTCGAAGAGCTCAAACGCTGGCCCAGCTCCCTCAAAGCATATCTCGCATGGACGGCGCACGCCAAAGCAAAATACGGCAGCATAATGACGTACCTCCTCGACCAACGCCTTCACTGGCAGCCCATTGAGGATGACACGGGCGCACTACGTTTTGACGTCGCCAACCCCATCCCCTTTGCCGACACAGCAGACTTCAAGATTCTCCGAAACGACTGGACGTACGCATTTGAAGATGGCATCACGCATATCGTCGTGTGGCTCAAGCAGCGACTCCCCGTTGATGCGGAGGGCGCGCTGAGTACTGAAGGCAAGCGAATGGTGGATGCGTTTGTGGATAAAGAGTTTAGGGCCAAGTCCGGCGAGGACGTGAAGGGTGATAAGGTGATTTGGTTTAAGAATACGACGAATTTGCAGAGTGTGAGGAGTTTGGAGCATGTGCATGTTTTGGTGAGGGAGGTGGAGGCGAGGGTGTTAGAGGGGTGGATGAGGTGAGGATGGGAAAGGTAGTGGAGGGTTGGTATGGTGGTATCCGCGCATTGCACTGCGCTACAGCGTTGGTCCCTATGGGCTTGCAATCTTTTGCGTTGATTAGAGAATTCCAGCTATCATCGCATCTCTCCTAGACTACTGCATGCTAGTGGTTCTTTCTTTGAGTTTCTTTCCGGGCTTTACTTTGGTTGATTTTTGTCCAGACTTCTTTCGAGATCCTTTTGGGGTAGCATTCAAGATAGCTTGAGATAGTAACATCAATATTTCTTCGAACATGACTGCTTACATACACTCAACACTGTTGCATGCGCTATCTTTGGCGTCCGAACAAGCGTGCTAGGATGCATCGTGTGATGAGACACTTTCTCTTCCGGACTCTTACCTCATCTCAATTCTTGTTGATTATAACACGCCCAACATATAGTAACACCGTAATGATGCAGTTGGCACTACTCACTTCGGTCCCAGTACTCTCCACTGGCCGGGGCAACCCCGGAACCTTTTGCGAAATGGGCGAATCCGTGGCATAACGGCTGCACAATCTAAAACTATATAATACAGGTTGGAGGCACTATCTTCCATAGGAATTTTACTCTTTGTTGCTCAAAGTAAATATGTGACATGAGATCCTTGACTATAATTAGCGCGCTTTCTGCTTGCATCTCTGCGAGCAGCAACATCCTCGTAAACCCTGTACGGCATTCTTGGGAAGAGCTAAAGTACTGAACAAATTGTTAGCTAACAAACGCATTGTGAACTTCTGAAAGCAGAAATTTCGCACGATAACCTATGGGCAGGTTCTCAACAGTTGTAATCCTTCGCCTATGCTACGAACGAAAGAAATCGAATGGTTTCTCGCCCTGGACACGAAGCGACGATTACATGGATCAAAGAAAGAGTTGAGGCTCTGAACAAATATTACGACGTCTCTCTCCAGTCTGTCTGGGCCATTGCTCAATTCGCTGGCACTGTCAATGCTTTTTCGATTGATGGCAGTAAGATGCCAAAGTCCTCATTCTCCTTATTCGAATTTTCTCCGAGTGGGAAAGTAACCGTGCCATTAATGATTGTCAATGGTGGATGTAACAAGGCATGTTTTTGAGTCTGGTGTAGCGACCGACTTCTTACCAAATTGCAACAATATAGACCGACTATCCAGCAGACCTAGCGGAAAAGATCGCCATTATTGCCCGTAGAATTTGGGATTTTGGTATCAAATGGGCACTTGCCGGCTCTTTAGGCGCCTCTGGAGCTATCTTGTATAGCATCAGTGATGACGGCCCTGTGCAAGGAACGCTTCTTCCTCCCCCACGCCCTCAGGGTCCTTACGTCCCCACACTAAATATCATCAAGGATGTCTCTGAACCTATTGTTGAAACTCTCAAGCGCGGAGAAAACATTACTGCTAGTTTCGATATCTCGACAGGTAAATGCTGATCAGAATTGAAAATGATCTGGCCAATTGGCGACTTGATCCGTAGATGAGCCAAAGAACGAGACTCGTCCGACATCGCGTAGCACAGTTTGGCAGATTGCAAATTAATTTCCCAATGACGTTGATCGATTCGAAGTTCTTTTCCTAATTTTACATCGCAAAGGAATTAGGATCATGGTAAGATTTTATAGACATTTGTAACGTTACCACATCCAATATCTTTGCAACTGCTGAGTCTGACGACTAAAACAACAAGCTCATTCTCGGTGCTCATACCAATTCAATCATCGCTGGCCCGGGTATCAACGATGACGGCAGTGGTATAAATGCTCTCCTTGAAGTCGCAAGAGCACTTTCAGGATATACAGTCAACAATGCTGTAACCTTTGCGTTCTGGACTGCCGAAGAATTACACCAGCATCCGGGTTCATCCCACTTTCTCCAGACCCTGTCTGCAGCAGAGAAATCTAAGATTCGCGCTTATCTAAACTTTGATATGGTATGTTGCCGGCCCTGAACAGGACCAATATTCCGCCAAAGGCCCTCATCCTTACATATTATATTTAGATTGCTTCACCCAACTACGTCAATGCTATCTATGACGGCGACGGTAAGGCGTTTGGCACCGCTGGCCCCTCTGGTTCAGCCGAATTACAAGCATTATCCCAAAAAATACTTTCAAGCTGCTGGTCAGAATTATACCGCGGCTCAATTTGACGGCCGTTCTGATTACGAAGCGTTTCTTAACGAGGGAATTCCAGTTGGCGGGACCTTTACTGGTGCAAAAATAATAAGACTGCTGAAGAAGTTGTAATGTTTGGTGGAGAGGCTGGTAGTCCGTACGACTCCTGTTACCACACAGCGTGCGATACTGTTAACAACCTTAACATGGATGCCCTTGTGCTGCGTACCATGGGTATCGTAGAGGCAGTTGCTATGTATGCAATTTCTTGGGCGGGGTTCCCAAAAAGAGAGAGGCTGCAAGTACTGTTAAGAAGAACGTAGCCAGGGCTAGGAGAAGCAGTGAAGAGCATGAACATGTCGGCGGCTGCGCACACAGTTGCTCATGGATATGACTGATAGCGGTCTTGCAATAGGTGCAATGAGATACATTTGTCATATGCATACCGCAACCTCTGTTCTTTCTTTCTTGCAGTTGTAAATATCTTGTTTTTCTCTTCCAATGCTTTTGTCTCAAAGAGAGAATTTCAAGGCCTTTATCTACGCTTCTGAGGGAAACTTACCAATAGCAAAAACAAAGGAAAATATGTTGCCCCTTTTCTCTATCATCCAACCGGATGCAAAGTAGTTTCAGTGGCCATGCTCGGATATCGTTGTACTACTGTGACTGATTCGACGGTACTCCCGCACCTATAGAGGAGGCACCTAAGATAACTGCAACTAATGCTAGCTTGTTTCTGCAAGCATATGTAGCACTGTGCTATACTTCTTCACCTCACACTCACATGGCTAGACACGCAATGCTACCTATGTTTTATTTTAAGAGAAAGCGTCGAGTAGAGACCCGTAAAAAAAAAACCCCTCCTGGTAGGATTGAAAAATGTGTGTTTGTACCAAAATTATAGCCACTATATTCGAATGTGAGATAAAAACGAGTGATCTAGAGATCTATACTGCAAATCCAGACTCTGCCGGACCCAACACCAACACCAACCATGGTCCCGCAAACGGCCGAACGTGACGGTCGGTACTCCGAAGGTACCCATAGCATGTTTCTCCCATCATGCTGAATCCATATGCCGTCTGAACTAAAGCCAGTCCCCAGGTCTGTCGAGCGGCGCGTCGGCCCTGGGAAATCCATTGTGCTGGGCGACGACATCTCTAAGGTCTGAATGTTGATGGTGCCTGTTTCAGTAACAAGTCGAGCACCAGTGGCATCAAATGAGAGTTCGAAGACGGGATTGTCAACGGTGATCGTCTCCAGACACGTGCCACTGCTGACGTCCCACAGCTTTATAGTCAGGTCGCTAGACGACGACGCCAGCCGGGGTTTTGGGTCGTGGGAGAAAGCCACAGAGGTAACCGTGCTACCATGACCTTCCAGAGTTTTTAGGCATGCGCCACTATTCGTATCCCATATCTTGATAGTGCTGTCACTGGATGCCGAAGCTAGCCACATCTCATCAGGTGAGAAAGCCACGGACCTCACAATGCCGCTGTGGCCCTCGAGTTTCTGCAGACCCGTGTTGTTTGCATCCCACACTTTGACGGTTTTGTCACCCGACGCTGATGCCAGCCACTTCGAGTCGTGCGAGATGGCGATGGACTTAACAGTACTAATATGACCCTCGAACGTCTGCAGACACGTGCCATTTGGATCCCATACCTTGACAGTCCCATCACCAGACGCTGATATTATCCGTGTTGAGTCGTGTGAGAAGGCCACGGAGTTTGCCCAATCGTTGTGTCCCTTGAGGGTCTGCATGCACGTACCGCTACTTGTGTTCCACACCTTAATCGTGTGGTCTTCTGACCCGGAAACTAGCTGCGACGAGTCATGAGAGAAGGCTACAGACCTGACAGTAAGACGATGGCCGTTGAATGTCTTCAAACACGTGCCGCTGCTTACATCCCATATCCTAATAGTAGTATCAAAGGAGGCTGATGCTAGCCGTGTCGAGTTGTGCGAGAAAGCCACGGACCTAATATTACCGCTATGACCCCTCAGCGTCTTTAGACACGTGCCAGTACCTGTGTCCCATAATTTGATAGTTCTGTCACCCGAAGCTGATGCAAGCCGTTTTGAGTCGTGTGAGAAGGCCACCGAGTTCACCCAGTCACTATGTCCTTCTAGCGTCTGTAGACACAGGCCGCTATTTCTTGTATCCCACAGCTTGATAGTACTGTCTTCCGATGCTGATGCCAGTCGTGTTGAGTCATGCGAGAATGTTATAGAGGTGACATAATCCTCATGGCCCTCAAACGTCTGCAGGCACTCGCCACTGCTGACGTCCCACACCTTCACAGTTCGGTCTTCAGATCCTGATGCCAGTCGTGTTGAGTCGTGCGAGAAGGTCACACAAGTGACATCACTGCCATGGTTCTCGAGCGTTTGCAGACACGCGCTCCATCCCTCGCTCAATACTGGCCTGATCTTGATCGTGTCCAGCTTTTCTTGCTCGAACAATTGCCTGATCAAACTGCCCGTTGGGCTGAAGAGGATTGCGGATGCATAAGTCTGAAGAGGGTAACCCTCAATCGCTCCCCTGTGGTACATGATGAATCTGCGCGCATCTTCAACAATCTGGATAAGCTCTTCTTGGTTGCGCATTCCCTACCAGCATCAGTATAGTCACGTCAACGCATGATCTGGGCAACCTACCTGCGCTAAAGACCAAAGTTTTGTCATCGACACGACGCCTCTACCTACACCTCTGCATAGACTAAGTCCTTCTAGCCAATAAAGGTACTTCTCCCTCAGAAACTTGCCAACTCGGTCTGCAACTTGTGAAGGTTCCGGCTTCGAGTCGTACAGATGGTCAATCCAGTAGACGCATGAATATCGCGACTCAGCGAGCGGATCTGAACCATTTGTTTCGATGTCCTCGACAGGATATGCTGGCGCTTCCAAACTGTACATATCCTTGCCTAATGTTCTGTCTAGAATGGACAACGACCTTGAAAACATGTTCTGATGGACGTCTTCGATCGTATCTACAAAGACTTCGCTATTGAATGCCTTCGCGAAGAGAAAGTCCTTTGCGGACTGATGCACAAAATAGACTGTGTCTTCTCGCAATGTGAGAAAGGATCCACAGTAGCCGATAATCTGCTGCCTCGTCTCTAGGTCATTTACGTCTTCAAGTTGCTCCACCAGTGCAAACAATTCAGAGATCGTGACAGGTCGATACAAGATAGCAACAGAAGCCAGTACATGCTGGCAGATCTCGGCGGAGTCTGACTCGCTTATCTGGTCCATCATTCGCCCATACAAAGAATCCAGTGTAGGTGGGAATACTGAAGCTAGCTTCTTTAGCACGCTCCATTTTGGTGTCTTCCTCAGATCCTGGCACACCAACGCCACCCAGAGGAAGGTATCGCCGGCGTTCGACCTCAAGTGCTGCAGTACAGCGTCGCGAATTTCTGCCTTGTATTGCTTTTCCCGCGCCAGCTGATCCACCTTACGTTCTATAAAGAGATCAACTGCTGCTGAAACTGACTCCGCGTTCAACTCGAGGCTCAAGGTCGCTTGGTGTCCTGCCTGCTGCTCTAGGTGCTCTTCAATTTCTGGCCAGTTACGGCTCGAGACTATCCATTTCACCCGGGGAGATATAGATGAATGCCTGGCGATGAACTCTAGGAGGTGGGGTCGATCAGTGACGCACTCGTCGAGCGCATCGATGATCACATACGTTGGGCGCAGGTGTAGGTCATGAAGTGTGTCTTCGAGGATTTCCGACAAAACCACCCAAGCATTCGCGTCTTCAAAGGAGGCCTTTCCAGCAGTCTCATACTTCCTGAGAACGTGCGACATAAGAGATGGTTGTTGAGTAACGAGCATGTATAGTAGGCCTCGTAGCACAGCCGTGGCACTATTTATTCGTGGGTCGGCTGCTTGACAAAAGAAATACGCTAGAAGAGTGCTTTGGGGAGTGAAGGTCTGCTGCAGTTCGTTGATGATGCCGCAGAGCAACATCGTCTTCCCTTTACCAGGATCTCCCTTTATCCATAGAAGCTGAGTGTGCGGGTTCTGTGTGTGCTGGTGCTGTTGCCATTGCTGGAAAGTGGTGTTGTTGAGAACCCAGCGGTAGGAGTCTGCTAGCAGTCCGCCCTTTGTATCCTCAATACGTTTCTTATCATCATAAGGGTCACTGGAACGCAAGTCGCGGACGCAGTCTTTCAACTTTCGTATCTTGTCATGCAGCCGTCCGAAAGCTGCCTTTTCGCCCTCGCCATATATAGGCGCAATATCAACATCACAGATACCTGACAATGAGTATGCCATATCTTCTTCTAGTTTAGTCTGTCTGTGCCCTCTCCAACGCAGGCGCTCTTCGATGTCGAACTGGGCAAGTGTGCCTTGGAGCACTTGGGGTGGGATGCCAGTAATCTTGCTGATCAATGGCGTTAGCGACGTCTTATCACCAAGCATTTCTCCCTCTCGAGTAAAAAACTCTACTTTGCTCGGTGCAAGAAGCTCTTGAAGCGTCCACCCGCGTGTGAACCAACGACTTGACCTAAAGGCAGGCTCCCAGGGCTGGGCAAACATCTCATCTGATCTTTGCTCATTTGCCAAAACGTCAGGTAGGTACACGTAGCACTTGGTCGCGTTTTGGTACCAGCGAAACATAGACCTAATTGCTGTAGAGAGCTCATTCAGGTCTGTCTTGTCGATGCAGCATGTGTCAACCCAGAAGTACTGCAACTTATCCTTTCGTGCCTGGTCTCCGCAGAAGCGAATCTTCTCATAGCCAAGCTTATGCTTGTTATCAGCCTTTGTGATGTCACTAAAGGTCACCTCCTCTGTGTCCGCCCCCCAGGTATGTGAGAGTATCGCATAAGGTGGTATCGCGTCGTCATCGAAGCTGGTAATCGTAAGGTTACCATCTTCTCCGTACTCTAGAAGACGCATCAGCTCGTGAAGGAATGCGGTGGGCGCGCGATAGAAACGAGACGTGATAAGCTCCGTGTGGCAGCCTAGCACTTTAGTGTGACGAAGGTACGGTAGCCTGATCGTGCCGTGCGCTGTACTTGGATGTCGGTGTGATAGAAGGGTAGTGGTTAACCGCGTGACACTAGTTATCTTGATAGTAGATGAGCGCTCCGAGAAACCCAAGTTGAAATTAATGCGCCGTGTTGTTTTTCTGTTGTAGGAGCGGCATTAGGCGTGCCAACAGCTGATGCGCGCCCATGTGCCCTTTTCCGCAGGATCGCAGGACAGAAGCGAGGTCTCCGCATCGAATATCCGCTCCAGCCGCCATAGTATGCTATTGTGGAAGTTAGTGTAACCACAAACCACCCCGTGTGGGTAGGAATCATAGTTCGGTGACTTCAATAAGTAGTTGCCAGCCACACAACTGAATGATTTTAAACACCTACATATCATACATACCTCTTCGACCGACACTTATTACCACCATTCGTCCGGATCTCACTTCAAGTAATGATCATCGATAAGCCAATATACTGCATTCTGCGCATGTGACGGCCGTGCATATCAAGTGGCACTCAGTTAGCTGAGGTAACCAAGACGCTCACTCTCCGAGGATAAATCCATCATTCCCTTCTAGATTAATGGAGTCTTTCATTTTCTTCCTCTGGCGACGAAAGCCATAATGTTCACTCTATTCCGTCATAATCCGTTTCAAGTGGTACATTGTGAAGCTGTGCGACACAACATGGATCCGTCTGAAGTCGCCGATGACGCTTCGTTCAAAGAGTACGACTCTTTGATCGTTGGTGCAGGCTTCGGTGGTGTATACCAGCTTAAGATTCTCCGAGATGCTGGCTACAGTGTCAAGCTTGTGGAACAAGGATCAGATTACGGAGGCATTTGGTACTAGAACCGGTATTCCGGTGCACGCGTCGATAGTGCTGTTCCCAGCTATGAAATCTCTGATCCAGCATTATGGAAAGAATGGACATGGAAGCAACGTTTTCCAGGCAGCGAGGAGCTCTGCGATTATTTCCAAAACGTGGCCAAGGTATGGGACCTGAGGAAGGACACGGAGTTCAATAACTTTGTGTCGTCAGCGGCTTTGAGTGACGATGATGCGAAATGGACTCTGAAGACTAATACCGGGATGACTTACAAAGTGAAGTTCCTACTGCTGAACACGGGTTTTGCAGCGAAGCGGTATATTCCCAACTGGAAAGGAATAAAGTCTTTCAAAGGTTAGCATGCGTATATGTCTCTATGAAGCCTACTAACCACTTGCGCTAGGAACTTTCTTACACCCATCGAATTGGCCTCATGAAGAGCCTGACTTCCGAGCCAAGAAGGTGGCTGTTATCGGCACTGGATCAACTGGCATTCAATTGGCTCAAGAGCTAAGCAAGGTTGCGGGCCATCTTAATGGGTTCTAATGGACGCTGCATATATCTTTGCCAATGGAACAAGTGAACTACGAGGCTCCCCAACAAGCAATTCCCAAGCCCAATCATCCAAAGCATTTTGCTGAATGACCAGGTAGCTTTTCAGGTTTCTCTTTTAATTTTCTTCCACGCTCAACCTTTGATGATACTCCAGAACAACGACTAAAAACATATGAAGAATTATGGAAACAAGAAGACTTCAAGTTCTGGCTTGCGAAATACAACGACATGATTTTCACTCAAGAAGCTAATCGTGAAGCATACAACTTCTGGCGGGACGAGACACGAGCTGGGATCAAAGAACCCAAGGTTGCGGACATTCTTGCACCAATGGAACAACCTTACGCCTTTGGATGTAAACGCATCTCGCTGGAGAATGACTACATTGAGATGTACGAAAAACCGAACGTCTCTTTGGTTGACATCCGTGACAAGGGTACACCGATCCAGGAAATTACTGAGACCAGAATTAAAACCATTGATAATGAGTACGAGTTTGACTACATCATCAGCACGACGGGATACGACGTAATCACAGGAGGTTTGAAACAGATCGACATCCGCAGCTCGTCGGGCGAAAGTTTGAGTGAGCACTGGAAAGATGACACAAAGACGTATCTCGGCATGGCAGTGGCAGGCTTCCCTAATATGTTTTTCACATACGGCCCGCAAGCCCCAAATACCTTGTGCAATGGACCAACGTGTGCTGAGCTACAGGGCAACTGGATTTTACAAATGATCAACTACGTGGAGTGAAATTCGCTCCGCAAGATTCAGGCACAGGAGCGGAGTGAAGATGAATGGAAGGAGCTTATATGGAAGCTTGCGAACGCATCCTTACTACTGAGCGTAGATTCTGTGAGTTATAGAGAGATAATGAGCGCTAAAAGAAGAATAAACTAACTTTATGGTAGTGGTATATGGGCACCAATATTCCAGGAAAGACCAGGGAGTCATTGATCTATCTTGGTAGAGTGCCGAATTATTACTATAGTATCAATGAAACGGAAGCGAGCGGGTATATTGATTTCGATATGTCGTAAAAACTGCTATATGTATTTGTATATAAGCCTCACCTAGTGAAATGCTGAAGATTGCTCCATCCATACTCTAGCTGAAGTGTAACTCTCGATTTCGATTGGTGAGACTGTTCGACCAAGTGTGCTAGCTCACCTAAAAGACCCCTATCAACTAAGGAATATTAGCAGTCATTCAGCAGCAGATGATAAATTCCCGTTATCGCTCTTAATAATGATGTGATTAAGAGATGGGCGCAACAAGATTTAATCTTGGTGGGTCTGTATTCGCACACATGCACTAAAATCACGTCATGAACTAGTTCTTGTAGAATATTTAAGGAAAAAGCGCACTGACTATTGGTAGTCTATCTACAAGTTTGTCACTATCATTGTCACCTACTAAGAATGGCTTTTAACTTTGGTTCTCTACTACTTGCAGGTAGTCTACTCCTTTATGGTGCGCTGTCCAATTCTGGAGGTTCTCGTCAATGCTTGCTGTGCCAAGGTCCTACCACCAGCGCTTCATTAAACGCACCAAACCTGCTGCAACCAGGAAAGAGGCCGAACTTTGTCTTCATAATGACAGACGACCAAGACCTACAAATGAACTCGTTAGACTACCAACCCGCAATCCGAAAACACTTTTCTTCCCAGGGGGTCACATACAAAAATCATTTCGTAACAATGTCTGTATGTTGTCCTTCACGGGTTTCGTTATGGACGGGCATGGCGGGGCACAACACCAATGTTACAGATGTCTCCCCACCATTTGGTAGACTGACCTCTTCATTTTTGTGGCAAATCTAACAGTCAACACAGGTGGTTATCCGAAGTTCATAGAGAGAGGATTCAATGATAATTACCTGCCTGTTTGGCTTCAGGAAGCAGGGTACAATACCTACTACACTGGGAAGTTGATGAACTCTCATTCCGTGTCAACTTATAACAACCCATATCCAAATGCTTGGAATGGATCCGATTGTGCGTTTGAGCTCTCTTGTTACTTTTCAAGATTCTATACTAAGTCCTCCAAGTCTTGATCGACCCAGGGACATACGTCTACAACAACGCCACAATGCAGCGCAACAGAGAACCCCCAAAGAATTATCCCGGGCAGTACAGCACAGACCTTATTACTAACAAATCTATTGGCTTCCTCGAAGAGGCGGCAAAATCACATGCACCGTTCTTTCTTGGAGTTATGCCTATCGCTCCTCACTCAGAAACCACCTTTGAGGATGGCAAGGCTGTCTTTAACCCACCTGTACCTGCGGAGCGATACAAGGATTTGTACCATGGGGTCAAGGTGCCACGCACGCCAAATTTCAACCCTGAGATGGTAAGCAGCACTGAAATCTATAGCGGCTATCTTTAACATGTAAATACAGGTAAGTGGTGCGAGTTACGTGAAAGGCTTACCACGACTAAATGATACCGTTCTTGCTTATAACGACGAATTCTATCGGCTTCGACTTGCAACGCTCGCATCTGTTGATGACCTTATCGAGGCAGTGGTGAACAAACTCGAAGCTATGAATGTCTTGGAAAACACATTCATCTTCTACACTGCAGACAATGGCTTCCACATTGGTCAACACCGTCTCAGCCCAGGCAAATGCTCTTCATATGAAGAAGATATCAGCGTACCTATGTTCATTCGTGGACCAGGTGTGCCCAAAGGCCATACTATTGAGCTCCCAACTACCCACACCGATATTGCGCCTACAATACTCAAACTCGCGAACATTCCACTGCGAAAGCAATTTGATGGAACACCTATGCCTATAGCTACTGCGGACATTGAAGATGCCAAAATCGAGCATGTCAATGTGGAGTTCTGGGGTCCAAGCCTCGGCGAGGGACTTTACAGCGGTAATGCCAAGTTACCAAACAATACATATAAGAGTCTGCGCATTGTATCGCCTGATTATGACATATCATATACAGTATGGTGCACTAATGAACATGAGCTCTATGACATGAAGGTTAGTCGTCCCGCATCTGCCTCCGGATGCTGTGCCTGATTCTGACTGTGACCAGACCGATCTTCACCAGATGCACAATCTATGGGGATCAAATAGCTCAATCGGAAATTTCAAGATCGATGCTTTGCAAACGCGACTTGATGCACTCACCATGGTGCTCAAGTCATGCAAGGGCGAGGTATGTGTGAAACCGTGGAAAACCTTGCATCCCCAATGCAATGTCAACACACTAGGAGACGCCATGCACGAGAAGTATGACTATTTCTACTCAGTGCAGCCAAAAGTTTCTTTTGATATGTGTGCTTTGGGTTACCTTCTCGAGGTTGAAGGTCCGCAGAAGGCGAATGTATTGAGTAACGAGTACTCCTATAGAGACAACACCCATTGGAGCGATTGGGCTTAGAATCCAAGTTAACACAACATTAGCCATATTTACAGCGCTCTATATGAATGGTTATCTTTCCATATTAGATAATCAAAGAAATACTATTCTACCATACCTCCTTTGCTTTCCTGTAAAACATAATGATGAGCAACCGTCACTAAGAATATTTCTTTTCCAGGACATGGGCGCAGTGAGTAACTATGCTAGTCCAAACGTGGACCAGGTATCTACAATTTCAACTAATAGCTCGCATGGTAGACTTGGTTGATGGCGCTTCAATATATTGGCAATCACTGATGCCAATCTGGTCGGAATAACGACGATATTCTATTTTAATATAAATAAGATGATTGATGGTTTTATCATTCTTATGAGCATAGGGTATATCAATGGAGATGAGTATCCATTCCATAAATAGGCGCGCTCATTCCGATCATTTTGCAGATTACTTCCAATACCTTTGCCAGTGCTCTCTTTCTACGAGGTTTACAAATTTCTCTTTCAAGTAACACATCCGACTCCAATCCATGAAATCGCAGGTCCTTCGTCATCGAAGTGGGTGATGAATTATATTTTCCTGACTGAACCCGACAGAGTAGAAGATTCCTAGGAAAACAGACCTAACGTGTAGAAATAAGTACAGTTCGATACCGTAGACGTCTTGTTCGTCAGAACTATCTTCCTCAATGATGAAAATCAGTTTATCATGATCACTGACACTGACGATGGCAGAAGTTTGATGAACCGCTTTCAGACCGTATCTCTAGCCTTGGATATAGAATCTATACTTAGAGTGGCGGTGAGAATGCATTATAAAGTATAAAAACTACTGTTTTCAGGACTTCAGTTGGGATAAATCACATCACCCTTCCACGGAACATACCGTTGGACCCCTGAACCACTTGTTCGCTCGATATAGTAGCCAGCAAGAGCATACCCTACCGGGTATGTCACCTGATATATCATCGCTGGCCGAAGCACCGAAGTTGCGTCACGGTGGGGTAGTGGTGTGAGATCTCAGTGTTCTCTCAAACGTGATTTTGAGGAGCCACTCTCAAATAGCTACTAGTAAAAAAACACTATGATCATGTTTAGTGCTGAGTTTCTTGATATCCGTACATCTGAAGTAACGTAACATTGGCATAATAGAGAACTCTGATTGACTATATGTCCGACATGGGCTGACACGAGAGTAGCATTGCTATATCATAATTTGAACTAAGGTCAGCTTAGGTGGTTCTAATAGCTCAGGGCCTATTCTCGGTCAAGCACTGTGAGAAGATATAGAACAGCTGCTTTTTTTAACCTATTCTCTTTACTACATTCTACAACATTCTTCAGTGAAGTCTAAACTACATCTTCTCCCTTGGAGAGCCTAATCTAAAACAACTCAACGGCTACAAGATCCCGTAACTACCTCAACAAGATAAAGGTTTCAGTCGCTGTTCTTGCGCTACTCGACACCCTCGTCCCTTGAGCCTATTGTGCTGGCTACGCTTGTACTTCAGGGTCCGGCAGCACTGACCCAAGTTGCGGTCTTGGGTTGAAATATCGTGTATGTTTAAGGATCTCTTCATATGTTCATCATCCTTTTACTAATGAATTTTGGGAACGTGTAGGTATGTAGGTTAAATGCTGGAACGCACAAGAAAGAAAAATGCTATAGCGAGTTCCCAGACCAACGCAGTTGGGATTCCTTGCGTACGTAGTGCGCATGGCCCATACGTGAATATGGCCACCCTATGGACCGCCTCGCTAGTAAAATAAGCGCTGCAGGGTCAGCTGGTGTGGTTTTAAGCCAGCTTTTGGCGAATTGATATGAATTCCTCGATACATTCACTATAGCATCTCAATACATATGTCGTGGTGATTTCTAACTCGTTTTGCTGCTACCTTGTCATTGCTAAAAGAGATTGATCTCAAGGAACGAAATGCGCAAGGTCAACACTGAGTGTGACATAGTTTTAGATCTGCGTGCATATCAGAGAAACACCTACTTTTCTACGTGCATGCATGGAGTGAATCTAAGTAGAAACCCTGAAACTATGACGAAGGATAACTCAAACCATGACTGGATTTGGGCTAGGCTGTAATGTGGGCAAGGATAAAAGGACCAGTTGCTTAACTACTGGGTGGTCGTTGATTCTCGACCATAATGCGGGGAACTTCATAAGGACTAAGGGTGAGAAGCGGGGTTGAGAAGCGGGGTTAAGAATCTACTATTCTTGACTATATTTGGCACCACAGGAGCATAAAGGCAACCGGGTATTATACCCAGCTCAACTGCAGACAGACCTCAGAAATAATATCGAGTATAATACTTTGGACAAAATCACAAAAAGATCGAGGCGGACTTCTCAGCATGGCGTCCAAAGACGGTGGAAAACTTCGATTTGATAACAGGGTAGTGATCATTACCGGTGCTGGAGGAAGTATAGGCCGGGAGCATGCGAAGCTGTTTGGCCGCCTTGGTGCCAATATCGTTGAATGATCTCTTTGAAGATTCCACGAAGGAGACTTTGGCCCTTATAACAGGAGATGGAGGGAATGCAATTGCGGCTTTTGGATCTGTCGCTGACCGCAAAACATGCGAGGCTATTGTCGCGACTGCCATTAAACAATACGGACGTGTCGATGTGCTCATCAATAATGCTGGAATTGATATCGCAAAGCCCTTCGAAGATATGGCTCTCGATGACCTCTCGCGAACATTTGATGTGCATGTCATGGGCAGCTGGCACCTGTCACAGTTTGTGTGGCCACACATGAAAAAAGCAGGATACAGCAAGATAGTCATGGTATGCTCCAGCTCCATATTCGGTATGCCGTCCAATAGTGCGTACGTCACCGCCAAAGGTGCGCTGTATGGGTTGATGCGTTCCCTGGCATACGAAGAAAGAGAGTTTGAGATCAAAGTAAATGCTCTTGGGCCAGTGGCATTCATGCCAATGGCCAAAACGATCCTTCCTGAATCAAAATGGGATCGGGCGGCCCAGGCGTTACCTGCGTGGACTACTTCGCCCGTCTGCGCCTGGCTAGCCCACGAAGCCAATGAAGATACCGGCGAAATGATTGCCAGTTATGGGCGCAGTATAGGTCGGATGTTCCTTGCCGAAACGAATGGAGTCTTCTGCGGAACTGGAGAATATACCATCGACACAGTGAAGGCCCACTATGAAGAAGCGCGCGATGAGGCTGGATATATCGTCCCGACCTCTGTGGAAGATGAGAGTAAAAGATTAGAAGGATTTGCACTGTATGATACCCAGGAGAGGCCACTAGACTTTTTTAAGTAATAGCTAAAATCATCTAGCAGTCTTAGTCGCCAAGATAGATGTCGTAGTTCGAATCACACCCTTCCAATAAGCATCATTACTAGAACTGTGCTGAAATTAATAATGAACGTGGACATTGTGTATTACCCACCAACCTAACTCTGCTGTCTTCGTTTCGCTTATTGCTATCTTCTGCACAATAATCCCACGCCTCATATGGTCGACGTCAGCCTTTTTCCTTACACAGAATGATTCTTCGTCTGGCCAAAAACCTCTAGGAAGAAAAGTGGTAGAAGTAAGCCCCCCTAATCTAGGATAGCAATCTTGGAGAACTTCTAATGTCTTCATGACACGATGGCTGTTGATCAAATATTGGAAACTTTTTTCGAGTTTGCCTGTACAGAGGATGAAGGCCACCCAGAGCACGGCATACAACCCTAGAACAATGCAACAAAGTTTCGCTGTCCGCGAATACGACTACGCATGGCTCTTTGCCATATACCCAAGACTTATCGCACTGTCGTCCTGCTTTTGAAGTCAAAACATTCCTCAATTCATTCTCCGAAGTCAGACAATATGAAGCATGTCTTATCAATGATTATCCCACTTGTCGGTAGCTCACTAACAGGGTTAGAGCCTAATCTTCCTTACTAAGGGAGAAATTCATCGTACCATCACTAGTCACGATGTTATACTTGTAGAGTACTTAGCGAGATGTAGTAAAAAATAGTGTTAGTTGGCTGTCTCTGCGACACACTGATTCTGGCTTCTGATTCAATCGAAGCTACCTTGCGGGCCCGCGATAAGAAGTCACTAGCCTCGGCTTTTCTAAATTGATGAAAAAAAAAATTAGGATAGCACCATTGGTGCTTTGAAAACTAGTGTGGGGTTAAACCAAACGCGAATAGGAAGGTAGGATCGGGATGAGAGACTGCTTCCCCGCAATTGTGGGGTTGAAGCTAGCGTGCAACGGCGACTAGCTACCCCAAAGTAGAGAGCCCGTGGCAGTTCATGCAAAAATCGCAATAATCTTAACACAAAAGCTGCCAAGATGTAGAACAAGTGCCGACCGGCTAGGAACGCGTAATAAAAAGTGGACTAGCGGGGCAGACATTAATCAAGGCTCGGGTATCGCTTTTTTGGGAATGGCGCATCTCTGGTTCAATATATTTATTCTTGCAGCCATATCTCTTTCTATTGTAACGAAGAGGCGTCTCAACATGCAGTGGAAGAGCCTCTTTAGCTATAGTGTCGTATTCGGAGGGGCGCAAGCTCTTGACTGCTCGCCTTCCAGCATCCAGTCCGTGCTTTCTGCAAATGCTAGTGTAAACTGGGCATACCCACTCCAGGAAAATTCAACTTTACAGGTGCCCAAGGGAGACACTGGCTATCCAACAAACCCAATCGGGCTTCCAGCTTTATGTGCTATTTCTATACAAGTCCAGTCTATTGGTAATACGACTTATGGATTTGGACTATTGCTACCAGAATTATGGAATGGTCGATTTTTAGCAGTCGGCAATGGAGGGTTTGGAGGAGGTATCAACTGGGAAGACATGGTAAGTCTATAGCTCGCATGAATGAGGTCACTATTGCTAACCATTGCACACACAGGGACCTGGCAGTCGTTATGGGTTTGCGACCATGTCAACAGATACTGGCCACAATTCATCCACAGGAGACGGATCCTGGGCATACCGACAACCAGACAAAATCGAGAATTGGGGACATCGGGCTATGCACGGATCGGTAGTGACAGCCAAGCTGATTGTCTCTGCGTATTACTCAAAAGACATCTCGTACAATTACTATGCCGGTTGCTCAACAGGAGGCCGACAGGGGTTGAAAGAAGCTGAGAGATACCCTGAGGACTTCGACGGTATCATCGCAGGTGCCCCTGCTTGGTGGACAACTCACCTGCAGCCGTGGACGATCAAAGTGGCAATGTACAATTTGCCAACCACAGCTGATCATCACATCCCACCTTCTAAGTTCAGTGCTATCGGTAAAGAGGTGATGAAGCAGTGTGATGTCCAAGATGGCGTCAAAGATACTATCATCTCAGACCCGCAAGGCTGTAACTTCCGCCCAGAAGAGCTCCTATGTGGTCAGAACGTCAAAAATACTAGTACTGCCGGTTGTCTCACTGCCCCTCAACTATCGACCTTGACCAAGATCTACTCAGACTCCTGGAGTGAGAATCAAACATTTACCTTCCCGCATCTCTACTATGGAAGTGAACCTCAATGGGCACTCCTCTCTAGCGACCTACCAAATCCACTTGGCACCGACTACGTCCGCTACTTTTTGAATTTTGGCGCAGATTGGTCGCCGTACGAATACAACGAAAGCATCCAGCGTCTTGCCGACGCCATGGATCCTGGAAACGCAAATGTCAAGTTCGATCTCTCAGCTTTCCATGCCAGGGGTGGCAAGATTCTGTCATATCACGGCATGAGTGACGGACTGATACCCACAGGTTCAGCAACATACTTTTACAACCAGGTCGTTCGCGAACTTAAGCCACGTGGCATTGAGGTTGACGACTTCTTCCGCTTCTTCCTTGTGCCAGGAATGGGTCATTGCTCAGGTACCTTCCCCACAGTCAATGCACCGTGGTACTTTGCAGGGCCCAATCAAGCTTCAGCGTTAGGTCCTACAGTATACAGTGTACCTGGCTTCAAAGATGCTGATCACGATGCCATGCTCGCAATGATGAGGTGGGTCGAGGAGGGCAAGGGGCCTGATTATATCATTGGCACAAAGTATGCCAACGAGGCTACCCAGATAGGGATAACGAGGCAGCGTCCGTTGTGCATGTATCCAAAGCAGGCTAAGTATAATGGAAGTGGGGATGTAAGTGCGGCAAGCAGTTGGAGTTGCAAATCCTTGTATGGGTAAAACCTACTACATACGCACTCTTTTTCGAATACCCAGCTCCTGATAAGACACCTTGCACGCAGCTGTAGATATATATATCAATAAATCTGAGACTATAGTTTGAATTGTTATAATTAAGGTGACATATATTATACTCTGGAAACATACGATCTGTTAGTACGAGGGCACCAGTACCGGTGATGAGAAAGATGGGCTTCTGATAAAGGGTCAATGGTAATAAAGCAATGCCAAACTGCAGCGGAAAAATAAACACACCAATGTAGTAGACCTAACCTTCCCTTTGCACATATCCCTGTCCCACAGCATGCATGATCGTTGCTCTTAGTCCGCCTCTTCGTTTCAGAGCATTCAGCTCCAGATCCCCAATTATTCGATTCAGGATCCAGATGTTGTTTTTTGAGCATACTCCCTGTTAAAATTAATGATCATTGAAGGAAGTTCGGGCTTCCGCATAAGTCTGCTATCTCCGACGAAGGAAGCAAAGGCGGAGAAAAGGTATGATGACTGTATAAAGCTCAATGAGATGGTTGCACCATGAAGAGAGCCACTGAGCTGAGTGGGAGTCTTACATACACTGTACCCGCCGATGATTGGAAGTATAGTTGCGCAATCTGATAGATTCGATTAATAAATCCGGACAGGAATCTATGAAAATATACCTTCAATCTGTCACATAAATAAGCTGTGGCTAACGTCACCTGTTATGCAAAGGTTTGTTATTTGTGAGTCTTTTTGAGTTGTTAAGATGAACACAATTCGAACTGTTAGCTCCCCGTTCGAGATTCTTTACGAACATCACGAACCCATCGACATGATCTATAGTTTTAATATAACCTATGTCGTTCATGGTCCTCTTGAATACAGCTTTGAAGAAATGTCTCCCTTTACAACTTGACAGAGGATTTTTAACAACAGCGGTTACTCAACTGATGGACTAGGCGTTGCGAGAATACTATGCTTTGTAAGACACTCCCCGCGAATAGATGAGACTATGTGGTGTTGCAGCACCATAAGTCCCGGGCCTTATCCGTCCTCATGCCCTATAGGCGGCTTTTAGACAGGACGTTAAATCTAAACACACACACACACACATACACACACATATATATACACAGAAGATTTTCAGGCTGATGGATATCGTCGTTGCATTACGTCAAGTTCAATTCATATTCATCTAATGTATCTTAAAACTCGCTTTTTACCCTCTCAACTCTAGGTAAAGTATTTGAATGCGAAAAAGGATGTTCCCAAGGGATTCTAAAAGCTTGTACAGCGAAAGAAACGCTCTATGATGTAGAGTATGTTTGTTCCGGGCACCGCTCAGGGCATGATTATTATCTCTGGTATAACTAAGTGGTAATCTTTTGGTAGACGATTTTATTTTGAGAGATATTCAACCGACGGTTGATGAGTTGAATGAAGTGCGCGCAGTTATTAGCTGGTTGAAGCCGTAGCGAAATTAATGTGATGAAAGGGTGTTAGTAAATGCTGATAATCCGGGTGATACGAAGCCCCCTGATCTCCTTGACTTGTTTATCATTACGGTGTCATCATTGGGTATAGGAATAAGAGAACAAAGGTGTTTTCATAAAGCTGATGACATTCTCCTAAAGAAAGCACAACTACGAATGAAATCGGTGCTAGCGCGATGATAGATTGACACTCAGGTCTTTGTACTATGTACTCGAAAAGCACCTTATCCACCTTGACTAATTCCTGGAATAAATTCTCTAAGGAAACCCCATCGACTTATATCCTTCTGTCTCTTCTTTTGCTAGTCGTTTGCTGGTCTTGGATAGAGATCTACGACACTAATTAAGCTATTATTATGGGAAATGACTGGAAAGATGTTGTCGTATGCGTTAAAATTAATTATTTTCTCGATGCTGTGTGTTGCTTCTAACGCTGATAAGTGCTGCCCTCCTTCGGCTGCAGTTGGATTGAAGAATGGTAAAGTGCGACTCTTTTTGGGGTGAATTGAAAGGAACATCTCGGCAGGGCATTTCGGTGGTGGTTGGGTCAGAGCATGCTTTAATAGGTTCGGATCAATTTCTCTAGGCAAGGTTATATATTTATTTTGTCGGAACTGACTACTGTGGTGTGCCACATCTCCACCCATGAATGTAAATGTCGGAGGATTAACTGTAGTTCTGGCAAGACCTGAAATATGCTCAATTACATGGCTAGGCGTATCTAATAAGTAAAAACTTCTATCCCTATACAAGTTAATTGCGTTAAATTTTCTAATTCTAAGCTCTTAGCCTTCTTTCCTAAAGTCGATCTCGTTAAGCGCACGGCCTATCTATGCTCTCTTATCTACCTAAGACTCCGGAATGGTGGGGAACGCGGGTAAATGATAGGATTTGAAACCTAGTCTAATAATAATGTCTGTCAACTAAGGAAAGGTGTTGGTGTTGCCGACGTGGTCGAAATGCTAGTAAGACTAGACAATACCTTTTATACTAGCCAAATCCTGACCGTTCTTACGTAGTACAGTTGCGACATCCTTTTCTACCTTAATAATATAGCCTACCTGCTTAGCTGCTTCTATAAAGGTAGTTAAGCTATTTCCCTAGTCTTTGCGAATACTAAGGTTAAAGAGCAAAGTAGCGTGTTTGTGCGTACTAGTAGGATATTTAATTAGGAAGGCGAAACTGACGCAATGCATCTCTTTAGTACTAGGAATGATAGGGTCTATAAATGCTGCACCCGGAAATTTACCTATCTAGCTAGTTGTGTCGATTGTGGCTACCTTAACCGTGCTTTTTGACTCTACAATATAGAGTTCTGGAGGGCTGCGTGCATCTTCTATCTTTAAGCTGACCATAAGTGGATCTATAGACTGAGAGCATAACTATCAGTGTTTGGGTGGCTCTGAAGCACGTATTTATGCTTTTTCCTTTGCCTGGTCGTATTTAGAAACCCGGTATAATTTAACGACACTAAGAAGGTATAAGAAATACAGACACTAAAAGACGCATGCGTAAACAAGATAGACGATAGAAAAGGTGAAGTAGGTAGAGGATTAACACTTATAAATATCTAGCGGATCTAGTAGACCCTGCACATTATCTCAAGCTAAGCACACTTTATACCTTATTCTTAAGATTCTTTAGCGGACCAATGATGTCTGTAGGCGCTGGTAACCAACCCCCGCTCGTACCGTCGACACTTCCACAGAAGCTAGTCTAATGAAAGTGTTTGTGTTCGCTAAGTGCTTCCGGATCGCGTATTGCTTGCGCGCTGTCATGGGTCTCACCACCTAACCAGATAAGAACACAAGGCTCGGTTATATAGAGCTCCCATCAGTTGTACCTATGGATCGTGTTTCATGTTGTAGTTTTGATCAATGCAAATAGCACTAATCCACAACAAACAGTCGCAATCGCAATATCGAAACTGCTCCAAGTAGAGTTTTACCGAAGTTCCTTGTGATCTTGTGTTGTGTGCTATCAACGTGAATCTTTCTCTTGTATGAAATCCCCGCCCAGACACCTCATATTACTTCATACGGAAGAGGTTTGTTATCTGGACCCAGAAACTCAATTTGCAAACTGGCTTCAAGCTTGCTTCCTGGCACACCTACAAGGAGTCGAAGGCTCTGGATTTCCAAGTTCTTGAGGGTGGAGATTCTCCGAAAAAGAATAGATAGTGGACGACGAGTTGTTTTCACTAGGCAGCTAAGGACTAATGCTCTATAATCATTGCTCTAAATCTTTCTTGATCAATCTCTTGATTCATTCTTTATCCTTCCTTCTTTCCACCCCCGCACCCCCCTCAAAATACCCTTCCCACCACAAACGCTTCGAAAACACTATTTTCAAGCACGTCCTTGGCCACTACACCCCCAAACTTATAACAATTTACCGCCGCGACTAGCTTCTCCTTTAGCACCTCCCAACGGGCAAGATCCAACTCCCCAAACCCCTCATGCTGCCGCACAAACTCCCAAGCTTGGATTGGTGTCACTTCGTCGTCTGCTAGCGGGATCTGGGCAGACAGCTGGAGTAGTTGCGAGAGGCTTGCTCGGGGGACGCGCCAGGCGCTAGACGAGTAAAGGCGCTGGCCGGCGGGGGAAGGGTGTGTGTGGAGGAGGGTGGCAGAAAGGGTGAGGGCGTGACCGGTAGATGTTGTTAGGGCTGTACCTGGATCTTCGGAGTGCGAATGGGAGTGCTTTGGGGAGGAGGGTGGGCCGACGTCGATATGGGAGAGGCAAGGGGATTCGAGGGCTAAGACAAAGTCCATGCCTAAGGCTTCGGGGTCTAGCGTGCTGAGTCTGGCGGTTGATGTTGGAGTGGGATTGATGGGGGAGACGAGGTGCGATGGTAGAGAGCCAGAGGAGGGGGGTGAGATGGGTTGGGAGAAGTTGATGGCTGCAGAGGATGGGTTGAGTCTAGGTAAGGCTTGTGGCTGCTGGATGTAGATTTGTTTTCGACGGTTTTTTCGTTTGGCGCTGGGGTCTTCTTGCGCTATGGATAGTGTGAGGGTATCGTCGGTTGTTGCGTCCCAGAAGGAGGTTGAGTAATTGTCCGGGCTGGTGGAGGATGCATGGGCGATGTCATTGGGATGCCCTCGTGCCGTTTCCGCTGGCACTGGAATGCCTTGTTGTGTCAGGAGTCTTTTCAGCACATTGTTTTCGGCATACAGTGCTTTGGTTTCGAACTCCAAGCGCGCTTCATTGGCACGAAGGCGCACGACTTCGGTTTCTAGTGACGCGACGTATGCTTCCTTTCGTTCGCGGTGGGTTCTAAACGTTAGGTTAGGTTTGGAAGACAGGCAGAAAGAATACTATACTTGATGATATCACCAGCAGAAACATGTTCAGTGCGACATGGCAGAAACAAAAGTGAATAAACCTATGTGACATACTTTTGTGCTTTACGAACCTGCTCTCTTCGTCTCTGTGTTTGGTTTCGAGGTTCTGCCGAATCTGCCACACGTGTGAGACCACTAAGCCTTGTAGCATCTATCATTGTTCTTTACGACAGATGTGAAAAGGGACCCATGCCACATACCATCTGCAGAAGACGTCTTATCGCCTTTGAAAGGCTTGAATGTGAATTTCCTCATCTGTCACTGTCTGTGCGGCCGACAACCTGACAAGAAAAAGAGAGCGAGACAAAGACGGGAAAGCGCGTAAGGAGCCTGTCAGCCACGTGTCGTTGCGACTAATGCGCCAGTTTCTCGATATAGACGTGGTTGGGTGTATATGTAGCTCAGCTCACACGGGCAAACGATGTTCTGACACGGGCTGAGCGACGTGGTACGTAGGCATCACCTCAGTACTAGTAATAAGTAGTACTACCGCATCCCCACAGTCGTCAACACAATGCGCAGCACAAATCTCCTCCTGCGATGAATCTGCAAACCTTAAGCGCCTTGCTCCGAATCGCCATTGGCTGGCAGACCGCCCAGAGGCTGTAGATGCGAGCGTCAAATTGGGGGTCGGTTCACACATGCGCGCGCGGGCACGCCCCCCCGAAAACTCACCGCTCGCCACCGTCCCTGTTTGAGGCCAGGCCCCCATGGTTCCTGCCCAAGGCACTCGCTATATCGAAAGCTCCAATTTTGCATCCAGTACATACGATCATAGGAAACTGAGAGCAGAATTCTCCGTTCGATCAACTGTACTTGAGCAGTTTACCGGCGAATTAGCAGTCAGGCGGGTGACCACTGGCAAATCCCCGCTGTCGTATGTTTTTTTGCGTTTTTGTTTGCTCTGGTCGAGGGATGATGCGCAAAGAGGGGAATCATGGGGGCAGGGTGACAGGGCGCAGGGAGAGACCGAGCGCAAAGGGCTTGTTCCACGCCTAACCGTAACAGGTAATTTTGCTTCGAGAATCAAATTGCCTTTTCAAGTAAAGATCGATGCAACATGTCTTTGCTTCGTGCCCTGATACATGTAATCTGTTTCGCACTTAGCCGTGTACCCGATTGCCGCTCGCGTGAAGCTCCCAGCACTTCTGACACACAGCCAAAGCCTCAGGATAGGCTGGCGGTCTTATTATGACGCCCGCAATGTATGCAGTCTGTGGTAAGCACGACCCTCTTTTACTTGCGAGGCGGGCGCTATGCCAGGTTAGGAAATCTTGATAGAGTCATCTGAGAGAGAACTGGTGGGTAATACTAAGTAGATCGGATGTGCAGTGACTTGTAGAGGGAGAAGGTAGCTGTGTATAAAGAGGGGTGGAAAGCTGAGATTTGTTCAACACTTACAACGTTGCGTCTCAACATCGACTACCCCGTCTTCTTCCTCAATACTGTAGTACTTTTTTCCTTCATTACATAAACCTCCTCAAAAGTGGACATGATGTATACTGCCGCTCTTTTCTCTTTGCTCCCCCTGCTGGCAGTGGCGGCTCCGCATCAACAATATGGTCCTGGTATGAAGCAGGGAAAGCAGCAGGATGGAATGAGCTGCACACCTCAAGGATCCAACAAGGCCGTAAAGGTCGGAAAGGCAGTCTACCTTATCACCAACGAGGCTGAAAACGCCGTCATTGCACTACCCATTGGAGCCGACGGCAGGCTATCTGCGGGGAAAATGGCAAAGACAGGCGGCACGGGATCAGCCGCTGTCAACGCAGAGGGGAAACCGGAGGGGCCCGACGCACTAGCATCGCAGTCTTCATTGACAGTGGCTGGCAATGTAAGTTTACTACCAGGTCTTAGAATGTTGCCTAGTGGAAAAGAACACGAGAATCTAACCCGTTTCTTAGAACCTCTTCGCCGTCAATGCAGGCTCCAACACACTTACCATGATGGCCATCTCGAACCAAGACCCCACAGTGTTGACTTGTGTGGGCAAGCCGGTCAAGGTCCCAGGCGAGTTCCCTAACACTGTCGCTGCATCAAAAAAGAACAAAATCGCATGTGTTGGAACTTCGGGCGCAGTAGCTGGTATCTCTTGTGCGAGCTTCTCTAGCAAAGGCATGGGCCGAATGGACGGTCTACGGCCATTTGACCTTGGGCAAACGACCCCGCCTGTAGGACCGCTAAACACTGTATCACAGACCTTCTTCTCGGCAGATGAGAAAACATTGTTCACCACTGTCAAAGGCGATCCAACAGTGAACAATACTGGGTTTCTTTCAGCATTTCCCATCGAGGCTGGTCAAGGTGGCGCAAACAAAGTTTCAACAAAGGGTATGCAGAGCTCGCCCAATGGCACGGCTGTGTTATTCGGCTCTGCGATTATGGCCAAAGACCCTTCGTCACTTTTTGTCACTGATGCGTCATTCGGTGCGGCCGTCTTGAAGGTGGACTCGGCGGGTCAGGCAACTGTCCAGGGCGCAGGTACAATTGGAGGCCAGAAAGCAACCTGCTGGGCTACCATCTCCGACTCGACAAACAGCGCGTTTGTGACTGATGTTGGTGTGAACCGGGTTGTAGAGATGAGCCTGGACAATGCGAGTATCATTAAGGAGCTCGATCTTTCCGCAAACGGCGATCCAGGTCTTGTCGATCTCCGCGCTGCAGGTGATTTTGTTTACGCACTCAGTCCGGGTAATGGAACAACGAATGCAGCAATCACAGTATTGGATGTGTCGGGAGGAAAGGGTTCAATGAAGCAGATACAGCATTTCGATTTGGGAAGGATGGGTGCAGGAAAGAGCGCTCAGGGCATGGCTGTCATGCTGTAAGAGATGTTGAAGGCTTGAAGAGAGGTGATGTTAGTATAGGTTATTTTCATTCCTTTGTTTTGTGTACATTCAACACCGGGCTGGGCCTCTAATTCAAGATACTTTTCTCAAGATTCTAATCACGAAATAACAGCCTGCTGTCTTACACTAACCCAAACCCTGCCGGCCCCACGCATCATCTAATATACCGCACCCAGAACTTCTTTGGAGAGCTCCAGTAGCTAAGATGTATTAAAACAAGATTGAATCTTAAGTATTCAAGGGTGAAGTAGTAAACCTACGCCCGTCTTCTAAATGTAGCAAAGAATTGCCGCCTCGGGAGGCCGATAATGTTCCTGAGTAAAAACGCACTCATTCAGCTTCAGCTGATTACGATATCAAGCATGATAAGGCAATTTTTTTTCGTCTATAGGTATTCCATGCCATATCGCGTTTTCGTTTTTCCTGAGACTATGTTGCCGTCAAACGCATGTTCAGGTCCGGTGTGCTACGCTCCCCCGCTACATCTGAAGAACTTTTTTTGATTTTCTGGCCCCGTATAGTTTTGCAACTTACTGTACTATGTACTACCGGAGTATAATAAGTAGATAGAACAGTATAGATAGGGTTGCAAGGCATGTGATTTAACGCCATATAACTATTGTAATAAGAGTCCGAAGGTCGGGTCGAGGTAAAGTCTCGTTGCACTATATGTCTCGTTACGCAGTGCGGCACGTTGAGTTGATCCTTCGACCTAGAGGAGCGTTCCCATTCAATGTATCCAAGCCTGGATAATCCATGGATTATAGCTGCATGAACCTCTCACACTTAATCAGCTTCGATATTAACTGGGTCCAACTCTGCCTTGGTCAATACTGTCCGGGTTTGCCTGGCCTATTACAAACAACAGCAGGAAGGATCCTCTCCCTGGGTATGACAACGAATGGTTGGGAGACCACTACGGATTCCAAAGGACAGGATGATCATCGCGGGGCTCGGAGTTACGTAATATACTATCCTGCTTAGACTAGCTATCTGGGATAGCAGTGCTATCCCAACCATCCTGCCAAGATAGCATAGAAGAGATTATAGGACTAGACATAATAAGCATATCATATATAGATTTTACTACTACTTTTATTATGGTTAATTTGAAGTCTACTCTATTACTAATCACTTAACTTTATAAGATTAATACTTATTAGTCTATTTAATATAGATTAGAAATTATTAAACTTATTATTATCTGTCTTATAAGTACGCTACTTCACTATCTAGCTAGATAAACCTTACAGAATACTAACGTAAAGCTCACTAGCCTTAGTGCGGACCTGGCAAGAGAAGTATAGACCCGAACCCCCGTGTAACAGTTATTTATCACGCTAAGGTTGGGGGTGTATTACACCTTTAAGATAAACGTCACCGTGCCGTGAATGATAGTCTTTACGAGTTCTGCGGGAACGGGTTGGCTTTTGGTGCGTTTGATGCAGGTCAGTGAGTCTTGAAGATAGGTGCTGAGGCGTGTAGCGTGCTCGTGAATTGGGGACGGCCACATTGCCTGTTGAGGCCATTGCGTCGCCATAGCGCCGCAGTCGCAGTGGGCTCCTGCGCCTGGGTGCTGGCTATTCAATTGGCGTCCAGGGCAGGTGTTTGCAGCTGAAATTACGCGTTCCTAATTCCAGGAATTGAGATTCTCGCTATTGTGGTGTTTTTTGTCTCGTTTGTTCATTGAGCTCGTAGGGCCGTGCTGCGCACGGCCTTTCTCGCCGAGAAACTGAGAATCAGCCGTTGGGGCCGAGTATAGCCAGACATAATTGGGGCGGGGTGAGTCTTTGGACTTTAACGCGCCGCTAGTGGAGCCCCGCTCCCAGTGGAAAAACAGTTAGGGCGATCCCTAACATCCAGTTGGGGAAGGCGTTAGTCTATGCATGGAGTTAGATCGCGGACACCACCAGCCGATGATGCGCCACGATGTGTCTGCTACGAATAAAGATTTGCAGTCGATAGATAACCTAGTCGGAGATTCTACCGTATACATTTGCATTGGGAAGACTTCTTCTCCTTGGGTACTAGTTTGCGCGTAATCCGTCTGACGCTTAGCCCGGAACGTAAGTCCATCGTGGACCCTCGTTCTATTTCTACCGCTTATCACTCATCAGCCAATGGGGATGCAATCTGTCGTTCACGGGGCCCGTGTCGGATGGACTACGGGCATGCCCTAAGACGAAAGAATTATACGGGAAGTGAGTGGCTGGCTGGCCACGTTTTTTGCGAGGCATTGCAGCCGATAGTTGATTGTATAGCAACTGAACGTTGAGTAGTATTTAGTTGGCACTCACAAGACCACTCGTAATGCTAGACAACTCGTGTTTGAATTTGTCTACCTGAAGTCGTTTATTTCCCTAGAAAGCAGTCTTTGGCCTTTTGATCTTGACACTGGGACTGGGACTAAGACTTACCATGGCAGATGTAAAGAAACCCACGCGAGACAATATCGATGTGCCGGAGACTGGTAGAAGCCCACTATCCACTACCATTACAGACTCTTCAGGCACGATTCAAAAGATCTTGTTCGCCTACCGCGGGGTCACGTTGCTGTCGACAGAGTCAACACATGTCGGCGCGGCGCAATACCGGGACGATGACAACGTCTCCTGGCCACGGTATTGGCTAGGACGAAGCGACTACCAAACAACCGAACTCCATGCAGAAGACCTCTATGTGTACGCTGGCACGAGATTTGATTTCGCCTGCAAAGACCTTGTCGTACGCTGTCGGCGGCTGATCATCGTCGGTCCAAGCAAGAGTGCAAGCACAACAGATGTTGTATTCACCACATGGCCCGGCGAGCCCCTGACACCTGAAGACCCGACGGACACTGCCGCCAAAGGTGCGAACGCGGTGCAAACGAAAAGTTATGGAATGATTGACCCCAGTGGATTTCGCCACATGATGTATCACAACCACATGGCCGAGACAGGTGCAAACGGAGTAACCCCAACCTTCACGGCCGCTCATGGCAAGAATGCTGGCTCGATTGTCTTCTTCGGTGAGATTGTGAATCGAACGAGCGAAAATGTGAAGGTCCTATTTGATTCGCAGGGGCAAGAAGGAGGAAAGGGTGCAAAGGGCCAACAAGGTGGCAAGGGAGGTGACGGTATGACCGATTCGAATAAGAGTTTCTTTACGCCGTTCGAAGGAGATAATAACAAAAATGCGGACCTTTGCAATGCGGGTAAAGGAGGGAACGGCTCGAATGGCAAGAATGGAGCTAATGGGGGTAATGGAGGAGCCCAAATAATCAGATCCACTCATGGCGACAGTACGCCGACTGTCAGTGTTGAAGAAAATGTCAACAAGGGGGAACTAGGCCGCGGAGGAGATGCAGGTAAAGGAGGAGAGAGCGGGACCGCCGGCTATTGGATAGAGACCTTTGCCGCACCCTGGAAAGACGATATACAACACGGAGGATGGCAACAATCTGGTAGCAGTGGGGAGCCTGGCAAAGATGGAGAAGCAGGAGAACAAGGTTTCTCGTTGACCACCGAGAACAAGAACTACGAGGGCACTTTCATCGATCTCACGCATCTTCTCATGGTCCAGCAAAGGCTCAACTTTGAGTGGGAATGGGCGGTCGGTCTGCAAACTCCGCTGGGTGACTACAACACGTCGGAAGATGGTGCGGTTGGTGAGCTTTTGAAGCTGCGGTTCCAGAGGTTTGGAGCCAGCTTCCAATGGGTGAAGTCTACAATATCAAAACTCAGTCTCCAGCAGCCTTCTGCTGCAGACAACCACGACCATGACCAACTTGTGGTAGATGTTCTAGGGAGCTTCGACATCTTACCCAAAAGTCAAGACTCGTTCCGCGATCGCATGTGTCAACGCACGCTCGCTTGCTGGGGTTCAGATATTAAAATCGACGAGTACTCCAGCCAACATTACCCCATAAAAGGGTCAGAGAGCGAAAAGGAAAAGCAAGACATAATAGAGAAGAGACAAAATTCATCCAAGAGACTCAGGACTGCCGTCAAAAAATTCGAGAAAAGCTTGAATCTCTGCCTGGGTATGGTCAAACAGCTTGAGGACGTGCAAAAGTCTCAAACGTCAACAGCGGGCCGTGGATTTCTCGACGTCCCTCAAGCTAACATACGCTTCACTTATATTTTGCAAAGTCTGGAAGAGACAATGAAGCTCAAAGCGGAGAAAGATCGACTACAATCTCAGCTGGACCTCGCTGCCCGGAACAGGGAGAATACAGGAATCGACAAGCAGAAGTTTGTCAATTATAGAACCAACGCTAAAAGTGATCTGAAAACTGCCCAGGATGAAAGAGAAAAGCTGCTGGCAGCATTGCCAGGGCAAGTCTCGGATGTTGGGAAGGCAAAAACAATTGCGCAGGCCAAGCTTGATGGGCTCTACGAAAGTCATAGGCCCAGCCAACTTGCGAGCTGCTCCTCTCTTATGAGCGTTCTGAGTGTTGTTGGGAACTGTCTGATGTTTGCTAATGCGGAAGTCGGTATCCCCTTGCTCATAGGAGCAGCATTAGAGACAGGTTCGGCCATTCATTCCGCCGCTACTACCAGCGTCGATGTGAAAGATGAGTCCGGCAATGTGCTCATGTCATCCGATGAGCTTGACTCCAAGGTTTTGGTAATCGATCGTGCACTGGATCAGAGTGGTCTGCTCCGCAAACTCCAAGGCTCCGACTCAGCGAATAATATAGGCAAAGCCTACGAAAAGATTGTTGTGGCAAAACAGGAATTTGAAGCGCTTTGCGATGAAGTGTTCAACGACCATAGTCTGGCTGGGCAAGCAGAAGTTGACGTCGCGCGAGCTGCGTTTGATGATCTGGTGGCCAAGGCAGATCTTTTGAATCGCTCAGTCATTAAGCTGAAGCAGAACAGCGTGGAGCAGCAACGCATATTGTTGCTGGAAAGTGCAGCCGACAGCTACATTTTGAATTATGATGAGGAGATCCAAGCAGGTTCGGATCTTGCGTTCGAACAAGCCTTCGACATCTGCAGCACTGTTTATTCTCTGCGAACCAACGAAATGGCTTCTAACTTGCTGAATCTTGTGCGCGCCTGGAATGCAGCGACACTAACGCGATGCAACATCTTGGACAACTACATTGACCTAGGATCTTTCGACAATATAGTGAATGATTCTACATTCCAACTTGATGCGGAGCAGGCAATGGCAGAACTCATCATTGGCTATGAAGCCTTGGCGAATCGTAACCCTGTTCAAACCCATGATATGAGCCCTCCATTTACCTTCACCGAGGCCAAGGATGCAGAACGTATCTCTGATCTTAAAAATAACGGAAAATTCAATTTCTGTTATGTTTCCGGTTCAAACAAGCGTTTCAAAGTAGACACAAACTGGTATGACATGCGTCTAGAGCAGTGCAGCTTTGAAATCCCAGGCATAAAGCTCAGAGGTAAGCCCACCCTTCCAGAGATCATGAAATAAGCACTTTAGTAAAGATAATGTTACGGATAATGTTGACTGACACGACGATGCTCGATACAGACAAGGCTGCTAAAGAGGCAATAAAAATAGGCGTCACATTAGGAGGATTTTGCTCGGTCTACCATCTTGACAAGAAAGAGATCCGTTTCAACATTGATGAGACAAACTTCAGTCTAATAGCTGATATTGACGAAGGCGGCAAGACAGACATACACATATTCGACAATCAAACGGTCTGCCATATGGAATACAAGGACAAAGAAGGTGATCTACATACTTTCGATCGCCATATCAGGTCGCCAATGTCCCAATGGTTGTTCCAGATCAGCGACTGGGAGAACATCAAGCAAACGTACGATTTTAGTGCTGTCACGGAGATCAAATTGCATATGAATGTTTCACATCGGAGCCGCAAACCGGTATCCCCTGCGATGTTGCATCTTGTTCCTACAACTCTGGATGCAAATGCGCCGGAATTAGCTGACGCGGACTCGGCCAAGGACCCCGATGTGACCAAAATCCACTTATACTCAATAGTAATGGATGAACCACCCCTTGCACGGCCCCTTGGACATAACGAAGCCCTAATATTTCTCCCTGGGGGAATCTCAGCCAGCACGATTTTTGAGAAACTCCTTCAGCCTCTTCGAGGTGGCCGGCGACAGGAGATCCTGAGGCACAATGACTTCACAAAGTCTCGGCACGGGAAATGGGCAGGCGATCCAGAGGTCGGTGCTAAAGAACTCAACGCCATGAGCAACGATGATATCGTGTCTAGTGCAGGCGAGTGGCATAGGAATGCCCGTGTCAATCTGAAGCGGCTCAACGTTCTCCCAGATGATCGCACCAAAGTAATGTTTCGAGGACCTGACGACAATTCGACTTATGGGAAAGGCCACTACACAAGCATTACTGCTGTGCATAAGTTTGAAAATGCGAAAACCTTCATCGAGAATGGCCCGGTAAGTGCCCCAACCATGGTTTTGCTGTCCATGTAGTTGGTAGTCGTGGGCTTTATTGCATGTGCTACGACCGGTTCCTTCCACTGCATGCATCGTTAGCGGGGGTTTGTGGATTTGATCTAAGTGCTAACATAACCCATAATGTAGGTGGCACTGACTGCAGTCAAATCCTTGTCTCCGGCAAGTTATGTGATCAGCCCAGAACAAGCGAAAGAATACAATCGCGAATATTCTTACACGGACAAATGGGAGTGGATGCTCAAGCACAGTAAAGAAATCATGCAAACTGAGCAGGGGTTTACGACTGGTTCCAAGGATATAACCGGCTACACCGGCCTTTTAGGTGGCGCTGCTCAGGTAAGCCATCATCTCCATTGAGTGTTGGCAACAAAGCGGAAGCTACCCAATCGTTAGCATATATAGGCTTGATGCTGATGAGATGGTCTAGATCACTCTGAGAGACTGTGGGCCCGCTCGCACATACCCTGACGGCAGCATCGTCCGGGTCGTGATCGCCAATGTCGATGAAACATATCATCCGTTTGCGCAGTCGGCTGAATGGTGCTTCTCTTATGATCCACTTTATCCCGAAGAGATCATGGTGAGCCACACGAGCATCGGTAAGAACGCGTCGTATTTCAATGATTACATCAACGCCACAATGGCCCCATATGTCTTCCATACAGCGCAGGAAACAATGCCATTTGCGCACAAGGCCATCGAAACTGGTAAAACTGTGGACCGCGTCATACTAGATCATGTGATAACGAATGATGATCGCCACGCGGAGAACCTTTCGCTCATTCGTCGGTTCTTGGCCTCAACAGACATCGTAACTCCATTTTTGGTGTTTTTGAGACAGGCATTTACGAAGTATGACCCAGAAATGACTAAGAAGGCAGAGGTGATCGTTCACAAGGCTACCTTGGAGGAGATGATGAGGATGACGCCGGCTGAACTGGAAACGGGTGTGAAAAGCCCTGTTGTGAAGGAAGCGCCGGGAATTGCTGGCTACGAAGGCAGCTTCAACTCAGCCTCGGTCATGATAGGGCAACCAATCGAAAGTTTGGGAGATGTGAGCTCGAATCCCGCTGGAGAGAAAGTCTGCGATGCTGTGAAGACAGACCTCGACCAGACAGTATTCCAGAGCGAAGATCGCAACCAGATCGACGCAATGCGCAAAGCAGTGGAGAAATTGGTCGATAAAAATAGTAAAGGATGGGACTTGAAGAAAAACACACCTGGCGAGCTGTTCGAGATCCTCAAAGCTGAGACGAGTCTCACAACGGATATACAAGCATTGTTTAAGAAGACATTGCTCGGCGGAAGTACCATTTCGGACGTTATGAACAATCTCAATCCTGGCGACCTTGCCAAGTTCCCAGACGGCTTGCTGGAAAAGGGCATGTCACGGTATGTAAGCAGCCTTCTATTCAAGAGACACGACATTGTAGAGCTCTGGGTAAAAGGACATCTTGAAGCCAAAGCATATCCGGAACTTTCCAAAGTCAACGAGGCTGCGAAACTGAAGGCTGAAGTAGCCAAAGCCAGAAATGATCTTAATGCGTGCCAAGCCGAGTATCAAACGAAGTACCAGGAACTCATTGTCGCTCGGCAGAAAAATGACAAACTAGAGATTGAAAAGCGGGTGGAAGAGGTCATCAAGAAGGAGGCGGAAGTAGAGGAGTACAAACGAAAAAAGGAGAAAGCGGAAGAGATGCATAGTATCGTTGAGGACAGAGACGAACGAAAGATGAAGCATGAAAATGAGGTAAAGGCGAAAGAGAAAGTGCTGTTTCCAAAGACTCGGAACGAAAAGTAGGGAGTCTTCATGTAAGGAGGCTCAAGCCTATCTCCCTGGAGATCCAATCTATCTGCCCAAATATGCATATCTGTCCCTATCGCTCTCCCGTTGTTGCCTAACCTCACCTACCAGTGCCTGTCTACCTTGGTTGGGTATGGCGTCGACTTCGGTAAGCTTCCGCGAACTTCCGGCCCCTAAAATAAAAGTAGCCACCCAGAGAATGGTCTATTGCTATAGAAAGTTTCTATCCAGAGACCTACCAACACATAGTGAGAATGTCGCCAGATTGGATTATCTATAACGTACCTCACGGGTTCGTGGGACTCACGGGTTCGTGTGATAGTTTTGCTAAGACTCTACTAAAACCCCTACTACCTACTAATGTTATAATAACTACAGCACTTATAGTCTTCTTATAAATATTAAATATAGCTTACTCTTTAAGCTCTTAAATAAAGCGCGAATCTCTCTTTATAACGCGCTATAGCTATTATTATTATTAATAAATTTATACTAAGCCGCTAACGCGTAGAAAACACTACGTAAGTAGATCGCCAGCCTTGTATTATAAACCTTACTAGGCTTAAGAAGAAAGTAGTTATCAAGTATAACTATACTCAATCTTAATTTACGTAGATTTCCCCCTAGGCATATTGTTACACGGGGTTAGATGCTAATACTTCTCTGTGTTATGACTAGCCTCAAGATAGAGAGGATATTTCGCCGTTATGTTTATTTAACAAGTAATCTGTAGGAAGGCGGAATAACTATAGAAACTAAGTGTTCTAAGAAACTTAGTATATCTAAGAACGAGACGCTTATAAAAACCTTCCGCTCTTAGGAATATAGCGCCGATACGAACGCTACGCTAATAGTAACCTCTTATTTATATTAATCTACCTCTTATTGTAACGGCGTAGGCAAGACTACTCAGATCAGTGTCGGTAGTAGTGTCACTTAGAGGCATATAGGAATGCGTAGGACATTAAACGAGCTGTCAGATTATGGGTATATAGCAGGTGGTTAGCAGAATCTGGGTGCTTAAGCAGACACCCGGATTCTATGGTTAGTCACCGTGCACGATCCACCGCGATCGTCTTAGGTACTCCGTACTGCAATAGAACCCAGTGCCTTCTATTGCTAAACGATCATGGTCACAGACTCCTTCCCTGCTTGCTTGTACCTCCTTTCTGACGCACAGACATAGTGTTAGGATATAGAGGTGACTGCTTGTTCTATTATAGACTCAGAGGTAGCCTGATTGGATAGACCCTAAGAAAGGAGTAGACATGAAGCTTGAAAATAGAGCAAAGGTTAAAAGAGTTCTGAAGAAAAAAAATTCTTTAGTTTATCTTATAAAATAGACTTAAATGATTCTAGATCTATTTTATTCTTTCTTTCTAGCCTAGTATATGATGCTACGTGGATTTGACCCCGATTCATCCTAATCGGATAATTACGCACCCTATCTCTATTAATGGGCGACGGAACAAAACCCATTTCGGGTTCTGTCCTGGGAGAAACCCTAAATATCTGTCGTTTTGTTCCCGGGATTTTTGCGTCTTACGGAATAAATGTCTAAACGTACCCTAATTTAGCTGTAAATCTATAGTCTAGTGCAGAAAATTCACGCGCTTTGAACGCACTAGGTAATTAACAGTTATGATGGAGGCGATTGAGCGTCGCTGTGTAGGAAGTGCGCCTACTTTGCACGGCCAGACCGACGACCATCATCGAGTTTGGACTGTTTGGACTGTTTCGAGAAAAAAGCGCACGTGCAGAAAGGCTCTATACAGCTGGCTCGATGACGTGCGAAGCCGACGACTCTCGAACCAAAGATGCCACGTTCTCCGAACAAGCCCAACAACAATGCGAAGCTGCCGTCACGACCTACGAAGACTGTTCAGAGCAGCCGGTAGATTTGGCGGAAAAATTATAAGCATCATCAACCTCTAACAGACACTACATAACGACTTTGTTGCACTGCTCGACCCATACTCTCCAAGCGCGCTCTAGTGGCTTGATCGTCTTGATCAGGCATTGCTATACCATCAAGCATGCGAGCGAGGCAAGGCTACATGGATACTAAGCATGCCTCGGCTTGGGCCCGGTCGATAAGCCTTGACTGCTACCTGTTCGACGTGCTCGCAGAACGCATACCATCTCCGCACCGCGATCCCTTAGCAAAGCTCCATCACACACTTTCGTATTACCAGTTATCTGTCAGATCACTCGGACTAGGTCAAACCTACGGGCATCGGGGTCTCGAACAACCCCACCATTTCGGTCTCGTGCTTCAGGGCATGCTGTCAACGCAGCGAAGCACCTCTCGTGCACGCTTCGAGGATGGGTATGAGCACATCATTATCAATGTGCTTCGTCAGAGGCGCAAGATCGCGAATGTGGGGTCCAAAGGTGGGTGAGGACTGGCGAGAAATTGTGCAGAGAGCGAATCTTCATGATGGAATCACCGCGCCTCGTCTCGGACCATGAAGGTATGTGCAAGACGTCTGTGGGGTATCGCACCCATACAACGGTCACTTCTGCGGATACTCGATAGTGCGGCATCTACACGGCATCAACTGTACAGCGAGGGAAACATCCTCAATGGGCCCAAATGGGGTGCATTGGTCCTTGGACATCCTCAGACTCTCATGCGAGAGTACTCTGGGGTCAGGTGGCAAGCGAAACTCTCGAGAAAGGGAGCAGAAGGACGCAGCAGAAGCCATAGCGGTACAACGGAGGAGTGTGCGCACATCGGCGACCTCGATGCTGGAGGCGGAGGACTCCTCGAGTCCACTCTCGCGATCGTAGATAATGTATCTCATTATCCATCCCGTTCCGATGCATAAAGGATGGACCGCACCTTCGAAAACGAGCGGGGGTTGCCTTTCGTCCAAACACGCGTCACCAAAACTAACGAGCCCTCGCAACAACCTCCTCCAGCCTGGAAGATCATACTGAACATGATTGGACTAATAGGGTTCCCCTCACATTCAAATGATACAAATGCAATCATAGGTAGTTCTCATAGCTCGAGCCTCAATGTAGACTGAGGGCGACCCGCGTTCGCAGCCAAGAGAACAAAACGCTTTATATCACGGACAGCCTTCAGGGCAACATGCAGTACATAGAATGGCACTGCCGGGGTGCGGCGTCCATACTAACACTAAGCGCTCGTAATTCTAACCAAAAATAGAATATACAAAACACTCTACTTGTTTCCAAGGTCTCCGACGCTGAATAGTCCTCCGAGAACACTATAGCTAACCTATTCCCTCAAGACAGGTGTGCTTGCGACAGCAATGACCGCCATAGCCAGCTTCTTCTCCAAAGCCGGCTTCTCATCTTGACAATGACCACAACTTTGCAGATCGTATAGAGATCGCTCGGCGCCTCTTGCTAAGCCTTCGCTAATGTGCGTTTGAATGTGCAAGATCATTACCCTAGGACGTAACAAAGAATCTAAGACATCACTTCCCGACGTGTCCAATCATCCCCTTGTCCAATAATACCTGTTCGTCCGAATCCATGCAGTATGGAATGTGTGATAGACTGCGCCTTCGAACCGACAGATTCAATCTCACTCGGGCGGTTACTTTACCGGATGCGGTCAACGCTCTGGTCACCACTTCCACACCAAGGCCCACAGCCATAGCTTAGTAATTGCCCACGCAATCATCGAGCAACGCTATACTTAATCGGATCACTTCTCTCTTTAAGCCGCTGTTAGGTGGCTGTGTAGAGGTTCAGCACTGCGACGCGTGCGATGGGGGCTTCAACGTTGTCATGTTGGTCCTCACGACTCTGCACATTGCTAGCTTCATTCGGACTGAGTTCACATCTCATTTTTAATAACTTAGAACTCCCATATAAAGGATGAGCGGAGAAGCCTGAAGACCTCCTCATCCCATTACGGCAATTTCAGCTTTTCCTCCATTATTCATACAGTTTCTATCATCATGCGCTCCAAGTCACTTCTCTTTGCTTCGTTTACTCTCTGCCTCTCAGCGAATGCAGCTTCCAGCACTTCCTACTTCCCCAACGAGCTGCACGATGGCCCAATATCCGCACAGTTTGTGTCAACTGGTGAAAACATTGACAGACCAAGAATTTCCCCAGGCGTCAACGCTTCTACATTTGACTGGTCAGTTGAAGCCCCTGTTGAGACCTTCCACAAGGATCCTCGCAAGATCCCTTGTTAATGCTCGGACTTCTAGGTGGTACTTTGACGTTGCTTCGACCTCGTCCGCCAACGAGACGATCACAGTAGTCTTCTTCGAACGCGGCCCTACCGGTTTCCTTGGTAATGTGACGACCGAGAACACTCTATCTGTGCAGGTAACTGGCACGATGAAGAACGGTACTGTATACAACATACAGTCGGATGCATCTGCGAATGCAAGCGCAGTGATCAATACTTCTAACAATTCGATTTACGGCGACTGGGAGACGACCGGTTTCCGGTTCGCTGGTACCGAGGGTGGGACAAAGTATACGATCTCGATCAACGATGCTAAGCATGAAATCTTCGGTAGCATCACCTTTGAAAGTGTAAGTCAAGCAGAACCTTTGATGCGAATACTGGAAGATGGAAGTCGAGACTGACATGGAACATCCAGACCGCACCAGGTCACCTTCCTTGTGGCACGAACTCGTCTGCCGGTGAAACCGAGCTTATAACACCGCACGTCGGTTGGGCGAACATCTTGCCTGGTGCGCATGCCGCCGTCTCCCTTACTCTCCGCGGCGAAGAGATACAATACAATGGTGTCGGATACCACGATAAGAATTGGGGTGACGTACCGTTCGCATCGATTGTGCAAAACTGGTACTGGGGTCATGCGATCGTTGGGCCTTATACGCTTGTCTGGTTCGATGCGATGCTGCGCGATGGTCACGAATACACTTCTGGATACGTGTCAAAGAACGGTGTCTTACAGCTCGCGAGTTGTGCGGAAGGCCGACACTCCGTTAGGCCATGGGGTGAAAACAGTGCCTATCCACCTACAAACACGACCGGAAGAGCACAAGGGTTGGAAGTATACTATAAGCTAGATGATGGAGATATCTTGACGGCGAACGTTACCACTGGAGCTCCTCAGATTGAATTTAGCAACTACGCGCGTTACATCGCTTCGGTAGAGGGATCACTCTTAGGGTCGCAGAATAGAAGTTACAGCGGTGTAGGAATATGGGAGCTTTTTCGATTCTAGTTATTATCAGCAACTCTTCGTAAGATCACGAGGCTTAGAAGGTAGGGGGTAGGTCAGAGGGGTCTTAGTCAATACATACACTCTTTTCCGAGATATTATTCTACCTTTCTTCAAATTCGGAACTTTGTAGCAGTACTTTAATATTACTCTGCACTACTTTACTTTAATTTATAACTTAGAACGTTCGCATTAGTATCTATCTTAGAGTATTACTATTATTTAGAAACTTTATAAGAGTTTAATAGTTTTAATTTATATATTATCTTATCTATAAGTTAACGTAGTTCACAAGCGAGTCGGCCACCCAAGCGAGTCGGCCACTTTGCTCCGACGCGTTAACGTCAACACTATAACACGTAANGACTCAACAACGTAACTCTCAAACTTTATACTCTGAATCAGATCTTCAAATTGCTCTTTTTGATATCCAATTAAAACGTGTTAAAAGCCAAAGACGTGCTGCTTCTATCTATAACGTGCCTCGAACTACTCTTCAAGA